TAGTATCTCATATGAGATAGCTAAGTCATAATTATGAGATAGATAGCTAAGTCATAATTATGAGATTGTATCTCATAATTAAGAGATAGCTAAGTCATAATTATGAGATAGATAGCTAAGTCATAATTATGAGATTGTATCTCATAATTATGAGATAGCGAAGTCATAATTATGAGATAGATAGCTAAGTCATAATTATGAGATTGTATCTCATAATTATGAGATAGCGAAGTCATAATTATGAGATGAGATAGCTAAGTCATAATTATGAGATTGTATCTCATAATTATGAGATAGCGAAGTCATAATTATGAGATAGTATCTCATAGTAATGAGATAGCTAAGTCATAATTATGAGATACAAGTTTTATTTTTTTTATCAGGGTGGCAGAAATGGGCTTCCATACATTAGGAGACAGGTGCTGTGATTTTTGAGTTTTATAAATGTAAACTTTTCAAAACATTTAATTTTAATTGATGGAATTATGACCATTAATCGTGTTGGCCATCTTAAATTAATGTCAGAAAAAGCTTTTTAGCATTGTCGGTTGAGATTTTGCCATTTTTTATAGGTGAAAACCACAAATGTGGCACCAGGGAAACAAACAGGATTCTAGTTTACAGTAAAAGATTTACTAAAGAAAACACAAATATCTGACTTTTCTTTTTCACAGTTATTACATATTATATCAGGATCAGGAGTTCCATATATTTAATTTTAATGCCTGTTTGATTTCACGTTGTCTAGATTTGTTCAACACTTTGGGTTTAAAACATGGTTTAGAACAAAGTTGCATAAAATACTTGTTCACAATTTAAGTTTTAAAAGGTAAAACTTTGCAGAAGTGTCGAAATGTGTTGACATCGAAAAAAGATAATTTGATAAAATTCTTGTTTTTCAACACATATCCCAATTGAGGAAGTAATGAATCATAATTACAATAATATTTTGGATTACAACAAGCTTGTAAGTGCACACGTTTTATTTGATCACACAATTTAGTCCAATATTTTAAACAAGCATTTTCTCCTCGATAAATGATTTTTGAGGGGAAGCTATATCGTAGTAAGCATTAAACATCAAGAAAGACGTAAACATCATTTAATACAAACAAAAAATGTGCAGCTGATATTTTTTGTATCAGAAATAGATTTATTTTCAGCTTCTACTCAAACAGCAACATGTTTTTGGTAGAGAGACACTAAAACTCGTTTATATTCTTTTTAATCTTAAATTTTCACCATTAAGTCAAAGTATTAATGGATGAGCTAAAGTAAGCCTTCAATGCTACACTTTCATTCAGTGGCTAATCTGCCTACCACAACTAAAACACCATGATTTCAATTTCAGTTYCAAAAAATGAAATCCAATCCTGTTTGCTTTTGTTGCAGCTGAGCGTCAGTCACTGCCATTGCTGTCGCTGTCTGAATACGCCCCCAGCAGGCTGAGAGATGAGGAGCCGTTTTGTGCTGCTCTAGATGCATTTGAAGCGTCGGCCATTGATGTTTTTGAATCTGCAAAACAAAGGACATTGTCACCGTGCTTTCAAAAACTACAGGATACTTTTAAATAAATCTGAGAAGAATACAGTAGTTTAATGACCTTATAGGTACAAAATGCATTACCTGGCTGTGAGGTCAGAGGAGAAGCAGTCGTTTCCTCTGATTTATTGACGGTCACCGCTGGTTTCTTGCGCACCACTAGGGAGCTGAGAGCCCCTCTGCTTCCCAGGGTCCCAACACTCCTCTCCCAGCTCTCCACCTTGGCCCTCTTCACACCCCCAGATGAGGCTCCCTGATGGAACAGAGCAACAAACAATCCACTATTTTTTTTACATTTAATCCTGAGGATTAACACAAAATACACAGAATCCAATCTCTTACAAGTAAAATGGCCTTAAAGAGAAGTTACAAACCTGTGCTTCAGTGTGTTGGTCAGTGGTGAGGATGTCTGTTGGTTTATCTGCTCTGGATGTTACTGACTGGCTGCTGCTCTCCTCTTCCTTTTCTGAATCAGAATCAGAATCCCTCAGTCGTTTCACAAGAGCGCGATCCAACATTTCTCTGTAAAGCAACAAATAAAACTCATTTACATGTACGACACAGGTTGGCTTGTTTCACTATGTGTGCTTTTTCCACTCACTTGGTTTCACGTTCATCTTCCTCCTTTATCCTCTCCCTCTCCCTCCGTTCCATCTCTCTGTATCGGTCGAGCATTCCCTCGAAGTCCACCTGAGCCTGCCTCTGGTTCAGCTCCTTCAGCTCCTGGAGGTTCTCCAGAACTTCCATCTCCATCTTGGAATCCTTTGTGCGATTCTCTAACACCTGGCGCCAGAGCAAAAAAAAAAAAAAAAAAAGTTTATATGTTCCTAGTTCTGATTTAAGGAACCCTAAAATTTATCTTTTTTGAACACCGACCTTCATGGGATTGTTCAGTTCTTCATCTTCTCTCTCCTGCTGGATTCTCTTCTCTTCCTCCTCAAGCAGCTTCTCTGCTTGGAAGTTACGTGTTGCACCGTGCTCAATAGCATAGTCTGTGTTCTCTGGGTCAGTCTAGATTTTTGACATGAGATATTTTGTATAAGTTTGAAAAAAAAAAACATTTTTGTTGTATTACAAAGAATGTGTTTTTAGAGAAATCAAAGCTTGTGACAATATTTGGACACTCAGCAATCTTACCTTAAACGTGATTTCAGCGAGACAGCGAGTGCATTTGATGTAGAAGCGAAAGATCGGCAGTCCCATGTACTGCTCATTCTGAACCGTCTCTTTACGTGCGTTGAACTTCTTCCCTTTGTAGATGTACTCACCACATGTTTTGCACCTGTAAGCACAGAGGTCAGAAACCACATCTTCAGCGACTCAAATCTTAATAAAACCAAAATACAAAAGACAGACTTTAAATGACTTTAACAAGGCCTGAAGAAATCATCAGCACATCCAAAAAGATGCAAACATTTTGAATTTGTACATGAGGTTCCTCTGAAAACTGTTTATTTTCAGTTGTTTTGTTTGTGTGACAAAAACTTTGGGAATTATCCTCTGAGACTGGGATAAAGTGGTGAAAGGCTTGAAAATTAGCGAGCATTAACTAACTTATGGAAAAACAGAACTTATGTCTTGTTTTTTCTCTGTTTTTAAGCGGGAAGGACACATTCCTGACCCAGACATACCTCATGTTGAATGGAGCCATCAATCTGACCACATACTGACGATCCTTTGGGAGTTTAAGTTTCGGGATTTTGGACGGATCAAAATCCGGAGGGTAGTATTTCTGTGGAAAACAACGTGTTGCAACAACGTTATTCACAGGATATCTAGTTAGCAGTTAGCTGTACTTAGCCCCATGAAAGTCACATAAAAAGCGTTTTAATTGTTGTGATCTCAACAGCTATTCTAATATTAACTAATAATAGATGCCGTGTTCGTCTGTTACAAGCGTTTATGTTAAAATACATACTTTCGCTTGTAACGCTAGCTTGTATACTTTCTGTAGTCCATTCTTACGCTGCTAAAACATCATTTATACCACAACAAAAAATAAAGCTTTTGAGTTTTAATTACTTACATTTAATACTTTTCTTTCAGACATGTTTGCTTTTGTTGATAAAACAGAGTAAAAAAATATATGCTGAAGGAAGTCGAACCGGTCAAGATCGAAATCCTRTCAGTGCGCAGCTACAATGTAAACTTCCGGTATTCTTGTTGGTCCATTTCCGGGCTTTAGTTTGTGCTGCTGCCCCCTGGTGGAAAGAAGGAATGGTTGCAAAATCAGAGATTTTTGTTTTGCATGTCCCTGCTGTTTTGAGAAATAAATGCAATCGCCAGTTTTGCTGATTTTAATATACATTTTATAATAACAAATTACAATTTAATAATCGAAAACCAAACATAGACGTGTTCTTTGTAGTTAGTCTATTATAAATGCACCTAGACACAGGAAAACAACAACTGCAATTCCTCCTCTTTTAATCAGACATAAAATAAATTATAGTTTAGTTAGAACTTCTGCAGCACATCCAATAAATATGCTAGAAAGTACACAACTTTAGTGTTAGTCCTAAAAGAGTATTTTATGAGTAATAAAATCTGTCTGAGAAAAAGAAAAAGTATGAGAAAGAAAAAGAAAAACGTGAGAAGATGAAAAAAAAAATAAAGATCATTGCCAGGCAGCTCACATTAATACACAAACCCCATAAAAACAAAGGAATAGTTAAAGAAAAAAAAAGGAAATAGCATATTTTGTAACATTAAAAAACGTTTTTTTCCTGTTTGTTCCCTCACATATGAGAAATACAAGAAACAAAATCAAGTATTTTTGTTAATAAACTTCATGTTTTTGTCTTCTTTAATCTGTCTTTGTTAGGAGACAGTAAAGGAAGTCAGGACTTGTGTGTTGACCTGTCATGTGTGGTGAGATGTGGGGTTTCTGACTCACTTTGGTGCTCAAACACAACTGTCTGATACACACACAGACACATTAATGTGTTTTCCTTTAATGTGTGTGTGTGTGTGTGTGTGTGTGTGTGTGTG